CACCACTCACTAAGCATACAATATGCCGATTATCATTTCCTTTATGTCTCACTTTTGCCCACAGAATAAGCATCTTAACAAGATCCAGCACAAGTACCAAGTCTTCGGGATAGCTTTCCTATGTCACATTTCCTAAAACATTGCCGTTTGTGTTTTTCTTTTGTTACTTGGCCCTTTGTATTTTCTCCCCTGCTGCCCTTTAAGTTCTGTGATGGGAAAGGTGGTAGTTTCTCAATCTTCCACAGCCAAACAGTACATAGCACAAAAAATTGTGCAAAGAATTTGGTAAAGGAATCTTGTTGAATTGCTTAAAATTACGCATTAAATACATATTTGTTAATTGACTTGCCTCAGTACGTGAGTGTAGTTAAGGGAGGAAAAAATATGTATAGCATAGGAAATATTTTACAAGTTGTTTTCTGAATCTGCAGGGTAAATTGCCTAAGGCATTGACCAGAGAACTGGGCCATGATCCTTCTATACTTGGGAAATGTGTGATTATTTATAGACACAAAGGTAAGAAGCATATATCATGTGTAGCACAATTTAAAAAAAACTATATAGAATCCTATTACTGTATGTATTTCCTGTATACAGGAAATCATTATGAAAGTTTATTCTTTCAAGTACATTTCTCTTTAATACTTTACATAAGAAAATAGAGCCAACATTAAAAAGGATTTTCCCTATTCTCCAAAACATACCAAGAGCAAAACCAAGAAATTCTATGCCAAAATGTTTTTCTTAGGCTTCAAAGTAAACCAAGATAGCATTTTATTTGTGATTATCATGAAGTCTGAAATTCACATATTTAGTTTTTGACAGAGTGTACCATAATTTATTCAAGTAGCAAGCCTGTAGTTGACATCAAATTATAAATATGAAAAATAAAATTGTATTTTATGAAAATAATCAATTTAAATGAAATATTTTTGGCAGTTCTCCTGTTTTTAGAATTTGTTCTGCAAGCTCTTCATAATCATCACTTATCTGCATTTCAAAGAAAGCTGAACACTGGTGTTCTGTTCCTTATTTTATTAATATGAGGACTAGAACCCAAAAGCCTAGAAGGATTGTTTCAGAAAACTACAATATCTGAGCGAAGTATGAAACTTAAAAAAAAAAAAAAAACTTTACTGCTAAGAAATTCAGATTTCTCACATCTGTTTATGCAATTTTCTCACTTGTATTTTTAAAAGAATTATCTTTTTTAAAAAATAAATAAAATAAAAAATAAAAGAATAAAAGAATTATCTTTTTTAATAATTCTTCCTTAAAAATTACATTTTTTAGACCTGATATATTCTGATAATGAATACTTCTAATTGTATTGTAGAAGTAAATATTTTTATTTTGATGTTTTTGCCTTCATAAAACTTAACAAAAAGTAAAACTTATGCCAAGACAAATATATCATCTGTGGGCCTGCAATAATAGTCTAAGAAAATGCTATAAATATTTATAATATGTCCTTAACAAATTTTGTACTAGTAATAACAACAGAAACTGTCATACATTATTGATAGAAGTATCAATAGGTACAACTACTTTGGAAAGTTTACAATATCTAATAAAGTTAAACATATTCATGCCCACTCTATGATCCAACAATTCTTATCTTAGAGAAAGTCTTAGACCCAACCCATTCTGCCCCCAAAATACATGTATTCACGTGCATGCATTCACATGTATTCACAAAATATTTGTTCAAGAATATTAATAGCAGCACTAGCCAAAATGTAAAAAATACCCAAATATCCTTCAGAGAACACTGGATAAATTGTGATGTCTTCATGTAATGGAATACTATATAGCAATGAGAATAAATTATTGTTACAGGTACTAATATGGACAAAACACATAAACATAATGCTTCTAAAAAATAAAGCTCACTCAAATAAGTATTTATATAAAGTTCAAAAGCAAAAAAAAAAAAAGCATATTTATTGTTGTATAAGTCAAGGTAGTGATCATCTTTGGGCAAAGTGGTGCCTGGAAAAGGTATGGTGGTAGGAGGGTGACTGTTTTTGTGAGGTTTTGGCAATTCTACTTTTTTTCCCCCACATAGTACTTATCTTTACATGCCTGGCTTATTTCACTAAGGATAATGTCCTCAAAACCCATCCATGTTATTACAGAATTTCCTTCTTTTTTTAAGGCTGCATAGTATTCCCTTGTATTTATATACCACTTTTTTTTTGTCCATTCACCTGTCAATGGACATTTAGGTGTTTCCACACCTTAGCTATTATAAATAGTGCTGCAATAAACATGGAATTACTAATACCTCTTCAATATCCTGACTTTAATTCTTTCCGATAAATAACCAGAACTGGGACTATCAGATCATATGTTAGTTCATTTTTAGTTTTTTGAGGGCAATTCTACTTCTTGATCCATGGTCTCTTCACATGAGTGTGTTATCTTTGTGAAACTTCACATGGAAGCTTATTATTTGTGTATGTATCTGTGTGTATATTACATCTCAATAAGATTTTTTAAAATCTTTAAAGCTTATGAAAAGAAGCTTATACTAATAAATTATTTAATTATAAAAATATATGTTTCCAGTTGCAATTCTTGACTCCAAATTGCCCTAAAAAGTATTTTTAAGTTAGATACATTTATAAATTAATACTAAATACTTTTTGTTTTCATTTTTTCTTTTATATTTCCTTTTCATTCAATATGAGCAGACTTAGTGATAAAGAATAGTTTTCCTAAAGATATTTATTTTATAAAATATTTCCAGTAGAAGGAGCTTCGCTTTTTTTTTTTTTTTTAACTATAGGAAATTTTCTTTTAAGGGGCATCACTGAAAATAAATATATTTACTTTTTTATTATTTTATTTTATTTTATTTTTTTTATTTTTGACAGAGATCGAGACAGAGAGAGACAGAGCATGAGTGGAGGAGGGGCAGAGAGAGAGAGATTGGGTGACACAGATTCTGAAACAGGCTCCAGGCTCTGAGCTATCAGCAGAGACCAACGTGGGGCTCAAACTCACTAGCCACAAGATCATGACCTGAGCGAAAGTCAGCACTTAACTGACTGAATCACCCAGGCACCCCTAAATTTTTAATTTAAATGATTAAAAAATTTAAATGATTAAAGTTCTTCATAGAGCAATGAATTACTCTCATCTAAGACCAGTCTAAGAGAAAAATTTTATTCAATTTATAAAAGAAGAAAGGAAAAACTTGATAAAGAATATATGTATCGCACAAACTTCTATACTGGGTACGTATTTTTCAAGGGATTGCATTTTTGGATTATTCACAAAGAGCATTTTAAATTACAATTATTTAATATTAATGAAGGTACATTTTTACAATTATGATCATCAATTTGAAATAAAATTTGTGTTAATTTAAATAAAACTAGACAAAAATCAAAGGATGTAATGGTGAAGATTATATACTTAAGAATATATTATAACAAATATAGTGAATTACCAGTATACAAATTTGACTGTAATGACCAAAATGGTTTAGTTACTGACATTAAACTTCCTAACTGTCTACCACTAAGCTATTCTGATTTATTTGAAAAAAAAAATGCATACCGTCATCTAAGATATTAAGAAATAATTAAAGTAAAATAACCCATTTCACTTAAAACATGAATTTTGTACCCCTGTCCATGAAATTTTTATAAATATAAAAATGTTACACTCTTTGTTTTAATCATGTCACAAATAGTAAAATTTGTGACAATTGTCGTTATAAAAATGTAGGCACATTAAAATATTTTTCACTGAAAATATCCTAGTTTACAGTGGTTCAACCCATACTTTAAAAAAATAATTTTGAAATTATAATAACCTTCACAATTAATTCCTCTTACTACAGTTGTATCAAAATAACATAACTTCCTGTAAGGCAGTTTTTATGAGATACGCTATGTTTTTCTAAGGTGCCCAAAGATGAAAAACTGACATAGCAACCCAGAAGACAATATTTACATACTTCAAATAGAAATTAATATACACACAACTTAGTTATTCCAATTATTTGATTTTAATTCTCTTGAAAAGCTTGAGAGCCATAAAAATGAAATCTTAAGGTATTTACAGTAGTAAATTAAAATTTACATTGGTGGTTCAAAAGTCTATATGAGAAGAATCTTGCTTATATATCGTTGTATTAAGAATAGGGGTTACTTTCTCTGTGCCCCTCCCCTGCTCATGCATGTTCTCTCTATGTCTCTCAAAATAAATAAATAAACTAAAAAAAAATTTTTTTAAGAATAGGGGTTAAATTATCTGATCTTTTGACTAGTCTCTATTAAAAATAAATAAATAAATCCCACCAAATATGACTGGACATGATAAGAAAATTACATATCATAAAACAATTTTATTCTTTAGTAGGTTTATTGTAGTATCACTTTCTCCCAAAAGATTATTCTTGACATAAAACATATCTAATGATTTATTTATGACTTTGCCCTCACGTATTACCTGACCTAAGCCCTTTAGAATTGGTACTTACAAGGCCTTAAGTGTTATTTATTTATTTAACTTAACCTCTGGATGTATCAATAATGCTCAGAATTTCTCTGATAAGTAAATGCTTATGTTCTAGATTTTTTTGCCATTTAATTACTTCTAATTACTTCTAATTACTAAATGTTTTCTAACTTTCAAAAAAAAGAGTAACACTCAGAATTTGTATTTCACTTAGAAAAATGAAACTCAAAAGCAATTTGAGAAAGAAGACCTAGGTTTTGGAAATAATTTTCCAAAGGTAATCTTAGCTGCAAATAATATGAGGCCAGTTACTTAAAAAGCACTATATAATGAAAATAGAGCAAAGTTACATGTTTTTTGGGATCTTGATAGACTGCTAGACAGTTTTAGGTAGACAACAATACGATTTAAGGGATACTTTCAATGCAATTTCAAATTGCATTCTCGACTTCATCAATAACAAGTGGTTGAAATCTAGTGCACAGGCTTAAATGAATTCTTCAACTGTTAAATACAAGTGGACTCACCTGAGTAACAGTGCTGCTTCCCAGAAGTAAAATCCTGAAACGAATGTCCGAAAGTGTCTCACGTGGGCCATGATACGGAGAGATTTTCACGATCCTGAAATTAATCTTATCCAAGGCATGGGGGATGAGAAAGCCAGGAACGAAAAATGTGCAATCTAACTCTGCGTGGTGTTGCAGGAGACGAACGCCTGGAAAGCTTCAGCACCTTAGACAGCTCCCCGCAGTCGGAAAAGACCCTGTCTTTTCAAACACTTGAAATTCCCTTTAGACCCCTTCTCTGGGCACTGAGCAGAAGGAAGATTCACAGGGTTACAAATGTGCAGGTGGTTTACACGGTGAACGCGGAATAAGGGGTGAGATGAAATGTCTGAAGTGCCTAGGTTCTGGGCAACAGTTCACTGAAGCTCTAGCAGCAAAGAAAGCTTGTCCTTCCCAGACTCAGACACCGGAGAAAGAATAACAGCAACAGCCGGAACAAGGATGCTTCTTCACCTGCTCCTAGCGCCGCCCGCCGAATCCCACTCTCCACCTTTGAGTAAAACCCGACACCGCTAGCGCGGCAAAGGGAAGCGGGGGCGGAGCCAAACGACACTGTTCTGTTCTCCAATCACGACCGCACAGCGGGACTGAGTGGCAGGCTACTCATCACCGTAGGCCGTGCTTAGCACTTTACCCTTTAAAAAAAAGCAGTGAATAACTGGTGCAGAGCCTTAACTCTGACTGGAGGGAGTTGAGGGAAGAAAGCCTCAGGACTAAGCATTGGGAAAGTCAGCGGCTTTTGTGAATTAGGTAGCAAAACAGCGCTGGAAAGACCCTTTTCTATTTTCTTCCGGGAAAAGGCACAATTTCGGAAGAAAGGTCTTTTCAGATGTGACCCCATCTCTTTGACCTCATATCAAAATGCAGGAGTCAACAGTAAACCCAAACCCTTAGAAAAGGCTAGAGAAGAGCAGAGAATATGGTTCATGAGCATCAGCAGAACCGGAGAACCAGCTGCTTCTAAAATTCTCCTAACACTAACCAGCTTCCTTCTGGCCAGGAAACATTGTTGAGTGGACTAAGTTGAGTTTTCTTCAGTTGTAATAAGGGTTCTAAAAAGATGAAGGTGGGAAATCTAAAGAGATGACTACTTAGAGGCACAATGCCACCCAACATTTTTTTTTCCGTACACACTTTCCATATCTTAATAATAAATTCAAGTGAAGGGGACAACTAGGTCATATGGTACATCTTTTCTTCCATCGTCCATGTACATCTCCCTCTCCTCTCTCTCCCTCCCTCTCGCCCAGCCCACCCCCCTCCCTTATATGGGGATTTGGATTGGAAGACTAGAAAAGTGTGTGTGTATGAGTGCGTATGTTATGTGCATATTTATTCATGTATCTCAAAATAGAATTTAAAAAAGACTAATACCTATGCTATTAGATCTTTATAGTGGCTTTTATTTACTATCAACCAGGACTAAAGCTTTCATTACTTGAATCTTAGCTTTTCCCTTAAACTCCCTTAGATATTTATTCTGAAAGCCCCCTTTTTAATCACTTAACTTTCTCAATGACTAAATTACATGCCAAGAATGTCTTCTTACTCTTTCACACAAACATTTTCTTGTTAATTAAATTCCAGCAGCAATTGACATATTGACTATCCTGTAATTCTTCGTTTAACTGGAAAGGTATAAGTCATTACCTTCTCACCCTCTCAAATGAGGACACAGTGAAAAAAAAATCTTTTTTTATTCTTTAGTAGACAAGCTTTTTTACATTTAGTGAGAATAAAGAATTTTTTTATTTATTTTTATATGTTATTACTGTATCTGTCTCTTTCTGCATCTTTGTTTTCTGATTTAAATTACAAACTTCCAGAAGTCTCATAATAAATATCACTGGTTCTACCCATGAATATTTGTACCCGAGAAGGCTCATACAATTTTAATTAACTCAATTTTTCAATGAACCTTTTGAAAGCTCACTAAGAACAAATTCTTTTTAGTTGGTCATTCTTTGAATAGCAATAATTCTTTTAAATACCACACATAATAAAAGAAACAAAACTTATTATATTTCAAGGAGACCTGAATTCCTTACCTTGTTTCCACTATCTAATTGGGTATCTTTGGAAAACTAATCTACTTTTAAAAATATCTTTATTTAATATATCTTTAAAAATATATTCATTGAGGGAATTGAGTTAAATTACCTCTGAGATTCATTCTATGGCCCCAAGGAAGCAACCAATGGAAGTTTATTTAAGTGAGCAAATTAATGCACAACATTTAAAATTCTGTGTTTGCATTAATCTGGATAGTTAGGTTACATGACAGCTTAAAAGATGATAATTTTAGCTATTTCATCTCATTATTAATATTAAAGCATGGAAATATTATACTTTATCAAATTAATATATACCTAGTCAATCAGTTTTTGAGTATAAATGTCATGTAAGAGGACAGTAATATGGAACCTCCAGATTAATGTTTTTTTTCATAAAACCATTATTCCTTCAAATTATTTATGAAAAGCTATGATCCTCCTCTTTTATTTGTTTGACTTGTCACTGCAGTAAGGATAATGACCATTATTTAGAATAGAACCTAGCATATAGTAGATACTCAATAATTTTTGAATGCATTAATAATCATATTAGACACAATATATATTTTTTGAATTAGATTTGTGAATTTGTTACACTACATTGGGTACTAGATTAATTTTGACTAAGTAAATCAGAAATTAATCAAAGAGTGGGTTGCAGTGCTTTGTTTCTTTGAGTTAACATGTAATGATTAATTTTCCATGGCTTCTTGTCTATGGATTTTTATATTGTTTGCTTTTAATTTCTATAAGGTCAAAATGAATTTCATGCATCTACATATTTGTGACAGCTATTCTCATAAATTTTATTCTTTTGAGAATAATAGTCCTGATTGGACGGGTAAGGAAATGAATGTGTTTTTGGAAAAAAGACCATTCTGTGGCTGATGAATAACTGACTAGTCCATTTATATAAAATTAAGCTGGATTCTGATTTGCTCACATCTCTGCTCTTCTCCTTATTGCCTTTATTATTTCTCTCTTGAACTAACAGATGATATTTTATGTTATCTAAGACATGGGATTTCAGAGTTGAATGTGATATTAATCTTCATCAGATTTAATACTTTCCTTCTACAAAGGAAGTAATTGTAGCCTGCAGTGGTTAAGTGATGGTTACACACCCACAAATTTAGCAAGTTGAAAATATTAAACTTGAACTTGGTGCCTTTGGCACCAATTGTCTACTCCCAGTGAGCTATCTTTAATAGTGTATTTCTACTATTGTCTCAAACTGTATGTATATTGACTAACCTAGAGAAAAGTAAATCAAATTCAATCTAATGTAAAGCTTTTATCAGATGCTCGGTTATTACTGCCTATGATCTAAAACATGTGATAATATAGATAGATAGATAGATAGATAGATAGATAGATAGATAGATAAAATGATTTGCAATTTAGTAAAAGAGTTATTTACTTTTTTTGAAGTCAATGTAGTATGGGGTTAAAAATAGTTTACTGAGAGTTGATCAGATTCAGTCATATGGGGTCATTCTAATCATCTCATCAAAAGGTTATGTATAAGTAAAATGCCAGTTTAAAAAGTTACAAAAAGTAATGTCATTTTTTGGAATAATTAGAATATTCACATATTTCAATTAACACTCTCTGGGAAAGTTGAAAGAAAGTTTTAATTTAGGAATCAATCAGAAAGTCACTTGTTCAGGGGTGCCTGAGTGGCTCAGTAGGTAGAGTGTCTGACTTTGGCTCAGATCATGATCTCACAGGTTGTGAGTTTGAGCCCTGCATCAGGCTCTGTGCTGACAGCTCGGAGCCTGGAGCCTGCTTCAGATTCTGTCTCCTTCTCTCCCTGCCCCTCCCCCACTCATATTCTGTCTCTGTCTCTCTCAAAAATAAATAAACATTAAGAAAAAAAATTTTTAAAAGAAAGTCACTTGTTCAGAACAAATCAAATAGAGGAGAATTAATCTTATTGCATAGGTAGATATTATCATCAAGTAAGTGAGCCTAGTGAATTTATCTTTTGTACAGGGATCTATCATAATAATCATGACATGTTAGCAGATCAAGTACCTCCTTTGGAATAGTGGTAGAAATATCTAATAATTTATCTCCATTTCCTTGTTCAAGATACAAAGTTTCTCACATGAATCTCAGCAACAGCCTCCTAATTGTTCCTCCTGTTTGCTCTCTGATTCCCCTGTAATTCTCCCTTGTGAATATTAAGGAGTTTTTATTTGTTTCTTTTGTTTGTTTTAGTAAATCAGATGATGCCACTTGTATTCCTAAAACCCGTTAATGCGTTTCCATTGCAATAGACTAAAATCCACAGGAATTTAGAATAACAATCATAAGACCAAAAGCTGGGCTTGAAAAAATCCACAGTTCTCTTTACAGATGACAAGGCTCTGAATGATTTTCAATCGGCAAACTCCTCAACTTCAGTTTTTACTAGTCTCCCTTTTCACCAGTATGCATGCACCAGTAACATAAGCTGCTCCTTATCTCATGATTTCTCTACTTCAAACACTCTTCCATTTTTGCTTCTTGTGTCTAGTCTTTTTCTAGCCTTTAATTCAGAGTAAAAAGAAAAAAATTCTTTTTTCTTTCCTTCTTTTTTTCTTTCCTCCTTTTCTTTCCTTCTTTTCTTTCTTTTTTCTTTCCTTCTTTTCTTTCTTTTCCTTCTTTTCCTTTCTTTTCTTTCTTTCCATTTCTTTTCCTTTCTTTCTTTCCTTTCAAAAATATCCTTTTTACCTTTAAATCAGGATTCATATCCTTCATAGATTCAATTATAATTTGATGTTTGCCTTTGTTTGAATATTCTTGAAAGGCAGGGGCAATATGCATCCTTATGTTGGCACAGTGTCTGGCACATTAGGAAGTATCTGCCGAGTGAATGAATGAATGAATCCACATCCTCTGCTCTTTGGTTCTCCCTTTTCTAGAGTCCATTCTTACTAATCTCTTTTAGCCCATTCTTTCTTCACAATTATTTAAGATATTTATATTATGGTTTTCTTTCCAGGTCAAATATATTCCTTTGCCATCTGAAAGTAACCTTC